GGGGGGGGGGGGGGGAGGGTTGAACTCTATTAAAAATGCAATATTCTCGTTAATCCGCGCCGGTATGTGGTACCGGCTAATTAGCGAGTACCGAGGACAGGGATGCATACGCGCATCCCCGTTGTCATGCAAATACCTGACGGTGGGCGCACGAAACGCCCATTCAACCCACAGGTCTATGCACGCCGTGCGATCGTATGCCCGGTTATACTCGGCGCGTATTAATAACGAAACAAATATTGCTTATCGAATATTAAATTTTCACATCACGCGATATCGCATTCATCTCGCAATCGCCGCAGAATATTTCAAGATAAAATTATAATACGTCTAAGCGGCGATGGTCTTCCGTATCGTGACGTGTATTGTTAAACTCTGTGTTTAAATGTGAAATTGCGTTTGCTTTTTCTACGTGAAACGGAGGGAAATTGATTCAAAATTGGAGATTTATCGCTAGTTCTCGATGCGGACATGTTTCGTTACATGGAATCTTGTTGTACGGGTGCTTCGCACGTGTTTTACCAATCTATTCGATCGTATACAGAAGAATACAATGGTACGAAGAGTAAACATAGCAGTAAAAGGGATTCCGCTTGCTAAACACATTAGATGTTACGATTAGAGAAGAGAAAATAAACGAAGAGATAGCAAAAGTTGACGTTAGAATCCAAATGAGAAACAATTTCTCGCGACCAAAAGAATTTTACGTTATATTTCGATACGTTATATTTCATGAAAAATTATTATTCTAACTTATCCAGCTCGCCACCCTCTTGCCAATTACGCAATCAACAAGTAATATTTTACTCATTTCTTATAATAACCTACAAATTTTCATATAGTTACAGATGTATAGCTCAAAGAAACGCTCAACTATCATCTGATAATAAACATTATTTAGTCGTTGCATTTATATCGCTCATCGTTTGGTAATAGTTCGACAACGAGCAAGAAAAGCTCGTTTGCATCGAGTCAAAGCTAATTCCAGGACACGTAGCAAATTTCCGCGTGCGCAGATTCATGCGTGGCTCTGAGAGACGGTTGTAGGCGGGGGTGAGCTATATCAATAAGCATCGAACAGCCACGGAGGACTGCACGGGGCTGTTGATTAAGGGGCGAGTACAATGAGGAGATATCCTCCGAGAAGGGAATGCGATGGATCTACATCAAGGGTCTCCCTCCAAGTCGCTCCTTCCAACAGCGACTCCCTCTACCTGTCTTTGCTCCATCTGGTCTTTAGCGAGAGAGACTGTTAGACGCCGATTATTACCGATCCTGAGTCGCACAATGGCCTCGTCTCCCTGTCATCCAGCGGCCTGACTGGGTCACCTTGTCGCGTGACAGAACAACGATTCAGTTGATCGTCCGGAAGTCGTGCGACATTCTGCCGAGCTCTCGCTATATGCCCTGCTTTACGCTGCTGGATCAAAGAGCTTACCGTGCAAATAGCCGCGCAATTATTTTCATAACCGCCATCGTGGACAATTTTTATTTTCCGCGACACAGGAGCAGACAAGAGTAGTAAAAATAGAAGAGTTACGCAGTTGGAGAACTTTTTCAAGTACCTAGCATACGTTAACTTTCATCATTTCGCTACGGATATTTGTCTGCAGAAGGGTGGGCGTCACATTGGTTACCACACTTTCGCAATTAAATACGATCTAGCGGCTTCGACCTTTTGCCCTCCCTATTGTTGTATTGTAGTCTGCGCGAAAAGATTCAATTAAATCTCTCGCAGCAATCTACGCCTACTCTTATTACTTGTCAATCTTTATCAAACTCACACCGTTACGCGGATTTACATGAATCTAAAAAATATTCCTATAGGTACTGATACGGAGGTTGAATTTCAATAAAACTATCTCATATTTCAAATTCCAAAAAAATATATATATGTTAATGTTCCACGTATTTTTATACATATGCTCGTATTCATTTCTTCACACTTGCACTCGACGTAAATGCATAAACATACACATCTTCTGCTTGTCAAAGATATAAGAAACCGATATATTCGCACGAATCATAGCAAGTCAAATATCCGATTAAGGCCCATTGAAAGATCAGAAGCTGTCGGTCCTGTCGAAGGAATTCTCCCAGCAACAAAGTTAAGAAGAGACCGCGAGTGAACGGGCGTTCACGGCGGCAACTTGCAGGCCCCTAAATTAACAGTAATGAAAATTGGTTATCAGTCGAAGCGACATCCTGCAGACCGAACAGTGTTACCAGCATTGGAGCGCGTAATATCCCATTGAGAACGAACGGACGGCGAGCACGGTGCTGGGATTCGGGTGCACGGGAAGCGGATCACGTTGACACAAAGCGGCCGTAATCCGTTTATCTTCTCTCCGGGCACTCTGCGCCCACGTGTTACGCTTCGCGTTATTCGAGGATGGCCCTGCCGTCAGCCCCGTCAACCACCTCCGAACCATCGCCTCCGCACCCTTCGCATCCTCGTCGTTCTTGCTGCAGAAACGTTACTGCGTTACGGAAACGGGCAGCTTTTCAACTTTGGAGAACCGTCGATATTAATCGTCGATAGTATGTGAAAAGATTTTAATTTGTCGAAATTTCAACAGGTCTCGGTATTGCATACTAATCGGTATAGAAACTATTGAACAATCGAAGGATTGGTAATAAAAATGAGCCGTGTAGGTGTTTGTCTTTTTTCAGGAAATCGGGTGAATACTGTAGCTTTCGTTTCATTCTTTTTTGTTCAATGTATTTCAATTTTTTCTTTTTTTTTTTTTTGTAAGAGAATATTTATTATGTAATTGTTATAAAGATATCTACGATTATATATACGTTATGAAAAATATCATATCAAAGAAACGTATTACTCTTTACAGGACAATTTTTGCAACTTCGTGATATAGTTGGATTAATTACGATTAACGCTCACAGCAACCGTAAGATACAACGTGCATTATGTCACGAAAAATTGAAATCTATTCAACAAGAATTAAATATATCGGGCTACTACGTTTTTCTTTCTTAGGGATATAACGATAGACAATTTCGATACGATCCTTATTTCCATTACTTCCGACTTATTTAAGTATTTATATTTCAATACGTATAGCGGACCTGCTACAACCAAATTTTAAAAGTCTCTCTCACTACGTTCCGTTAGAAACTTTCCGCAAT